GTACTCCGCATGAACAGCACCCCGCCCATGGCCTCCATCCCATCTGCTTCTGTGCTCAGTGTGGATTTGGGTGCCTCTGCCGATGAAGCCCTTTGGGAAGAAGCGAACAGGCAAAGTGCGACGGCCTTGCCTGCCACATCTTCAGCTGCTGCAGTTGTCAATGACCTCAGGAACCCACTGGCAATGGCTGTGGCCAGGCAACAGTTGGACGCTCCCAACAGACAGGACTACAGAAATCCTGCAGACACAGTCGATCATGACTTCTGGAAGCGTGGAGAAGCGCCTGCGGGTCTCTCAGGGGTGAAGCCTAGCAACATCACGAGCTCTACGGACAGCTTGCAAGCTGACCTCAACGTGAGAAGCCCGCTGGTCTCCTCTCGGGCTGTGGGCATCGGCCACCCGGCAAAAGAACAGAGTCTTGGAAAGTTTCAACGGACACGCGTTCAGCCTGTGAGCAGGCTTGCCGCATGATAACAAGCCCTCACGTGAGAGAAGTGTCCTGAGGTTCTGCCGTGAATGAAGGATGTGCCGTGGATGGAATCCCCGCTGAGATAGCAGCCCAAGACTCTGCTACTTGGCAGCAGCCGCCGCAGGGAGGGGAAGCTTGCCATGTCTCAAGGGAGGAGTTCGCAGTTAGGCTCTGATCTCATCTCCTGCGCCAGCTGCAGCCAGCGCGGCCGCATCCAGCTTCTCGGAGCTACAGAGGACGTGTTTGTGTCTCTGCGTGCGTCTTCGTGTTCGTGTGTGGAATCTGCTTCAATGCATCCAGCATAGGTCGGCAAGCTCAAGCAGTGGCAGCCAGCGTCGGTTGGCCAGCGGCGAAGAATGCCAGGCAGATATCCATGAGTCATGCCGGCGTAAGCGGCTGGCACTTCAGAGCCAAACTGTACCATGCTCCTCCGCTGGGTCTACGTGCCAGGCATACTACCGTTCGCGGGCATGGGCCTGTGCGGACAGGCCTCGGTTTTCAATCGCGTGTCCTGTTGCCAATGAGTTGCTGATGCCAGTTCATTGGCTTTTGTTTGTGAAGTGGCTGCATGGATAGATAACAGGTGAGGCCAAGTGAGCCTTGTAGGCGCATTCAAGCATGCTCTCTTACAGCACTCTTGCAGCCTTACTTCGAGGGCTGATTCTCCTGATGCAAGGCAAGGAGTTGAAGCTCGCCCGGGATAGTTCGAGTGCAGGCGGGATCGGATCCCTGCAGCTTTCATCTGCTTTGTTGGCCACAGCAAGAATCTAAACACCCATCAGGCGATTCCACCAGCCAGCCGGAGAGCACCCGACCATCTCGACGAGCGGCACAGAAGAAGACTTCTGAGAAACAAGTGCCAGTGCTGACCTCAGCTACACCACAAAGACGCAGCCTGAACATTAAGCCCAAATCAAGTTGCAGGCTTGTTTGCTGCATGAGGCAAGTCTGCCTGCGTGGTGTGCTCTTCCCTGCCCATGACATGAGGCTGCAAAGCAACGAGCTGCCGCGGCCCCCAAACAGCTCAGGAGGCCAACTTTAGCTTGTCAAATCCTTCTGTGTAGAAACTGCCTTCGGCCAGTGTTGAGCATAGTGAACTCATGGTCACAGGCATGCGGCCCGTGTGCATCAGACGGCAGCGGGCAATGCGCCGAAGGCGTCGGGGGATGCAACGCTTGCTCAAAGCGAGGCTACTTGCTATCCTCCATGACGCTGTCGTGTTGAAGTAAGCAGTAAGCTTAACACAGACTCAACCGTGCTGGCAAGGCGGCCCACAAGGATGGAGATTCGGAAGATGGCTCAGGCAAAGCAGACTCCGCGCCTGCGGACTCTGCGGCTGCAGACTCGACCGCAGAATCAAGATTGTCTGCTGAGGCGGGACTGTTGGAGTGTCATTCAAGCTGTGAGCTGTGAGCTGTGGAGGTCCCTCCAGCCACACGCCAGACCGGCTCCGCGGAGAGCCCTCGCCTCCCAAACCCAGAGGCGGTCCGCCGAAACTAGCCTTGACATCTCCTTCTCCTGCGAAGGGATTCGTGCATTTAAGGACCCCCTGCCCTTGACGCCAGCATCGAAGTCGGTGCCGTGACTGCTTAAAGCTTGATGCATAATCCTCAAGTTGAAGTGCGCGAGTGCTTCTATTCGTGCTGCAAATATCTTTGGAACTTCTGTTGCTTGGGTTCAAGCGATGCGCAACTGAGGCTCCACGGGGGCATCGCAGAGGCCCAAGCCCTGAGTGGCTTGACAGCAGAGCAGTTACGATGCGCCGAGGAAGTTGCCCAAACACGGTGGAGGTCAGGTCGGGGATGGTGCGTATGTTGCAGATGTTAGCCCAGGCCAAGAAGGGTCACAGCTTTCTTCGAGCTGCTCAGCTTCAGTTTTCATGGATTTGTGAGGTTGTTTTGTGTCCGTGCTGGGTTCTCCCTCGCTCCTGCTTGCTCAGGGTGGAGTGCCCTGACACTGCACCAGAAGATGCACCCCGGCCACACAGGAAAGGGCACAGCTGATTTATCTTTTTGGGGGTCTCTGGGGTCTGACACAGATCGATGCTGATGCATCCGGCTTGATGCAGTGGTTCTATGTCCTGACCGCAATTTGTGTGCTATGTGGGTGTGGTGAGATGAAGTGCAATCACCGCCCATAAGCAATTTGAACTCAACTCTTGATGCTGAGGCCGTGTTCTTGGTCCTGAAAAGCTCTGCTGGTGGCACGTGGGACATCAATCAAGGTATCATGCTTGAGACCAGCTCGGGACCCGGCTCGTTGATGGCCATGAAGTGTCATGAATAGCATGAACATTTCAATCAGATAGCGGAATTTGTATTCTCAGGTCCTGACAGATTTCCACGTTGGGCCACAGCTGCTCCCATCTCCATCGACCTGTCCTCAAAGATGGAATTCCAGTTTGCGATCGCAGACGCTTGGCTGTTGGTTGCCAGGTTCAGCCAAGGTACGGAGTGGATGCAACACTCAAGTTTGCTTGCATGATCCCTAGCCAAGCCATAGAATTTCCACGCTTACAATGCCGGTCACAAGGACCGGGACCTTGCGCAGTTGCCGCGGTTCGAGCGCCTGGGCTCCAGCCGGAAGCTGCCTCAGCCTGAGGGACAGGACCTGGACTGTCCAAATTCTTATTGGTATTGGCATTTGAGGTATGCTTAGATCTTGTATTGACATGTCATGTGAGCAGCAGCCAGGACGGCCAAGCCTTCGAAATTGTCTATCGTGGTGCTTGGGAGGCTCTTCATCTTGTGAACTCGAAATTGCACAGTCCTGCCTGCATGCCAGACGCAGCATGTCGGTCATGAGCAGGCTGTATGCAGTCACCGTGAAATTAGGTTGACGGAATGTAGGCCGTTCAGCAGATTTTGCTTGTTCCTTCAAGGCTGAGCACCCAGCAAGTCATGAGTTATGAGTACAAGTTTCAGCTGGAGACCAAAAACGAATTTCTCAATCTTGCCTGTAGCCAGTGCCGCAAGCTGTTTAGCTTTCATCGCAGGAAGTGCTGCCAACTTCTAAGCAGCAAGCTTCCCCCCTGGCCTGCAAGTGTACAAAACAGATGATGTAAGTGCTGCTGGAGGCTTCATTTTTGAGTACAGATCAAGTTATGGCGGACAGGGCTCAGACTTGATTCAGAGGGTCTTTGCTTCCCAGCTTTCCTGCCCGCAACTTGGACTTTCACAAATTCCAGAGATGTTGGACAATGACGGTGGAACCTGGCAGGATCCGCGCAGCACTGTGACAGTGCGGCCAGCTTGTCCTTCGACCTGCTCCCCCGTGAGCCGCCCCGAATCACAAGTGCCTCCTTTCAAATAATCGTCATCATCAGCAGCGCATCATCATGATGATCGTCATTATGCTCCCCCAGCTTTTCTACTTGTACGCATTGTGCCATACAGGCTTCTCCTGGAGCGACATGCGCTGGTCAAGTTGGTGAAGTTGGGCAAAGTCCTGGGCATCCAATTGCGGCAGACAGCACCAGGAGGTGTCAGAGGGCTCTCCCAAGCTGTCCTTATGCTGCCACTGTGACGTGTTTTTGCTGCGCTACTACATGAGCAGCCACATCTTTTTACGTACGACAAGAGAAGACTAGACTCGTCGGTATTTTTCTTCTAAAGCCAGCATTTTCTTGGGAACTAGATAGGCACCACACATTGAATGAGATGGGTCGAATTTTGTTTCTAGGTGAGAGCTATTTTCATGGTCCATGCCATGATTGCGAAAGAGATGATAAAGTCTTTGTTGATCCTGTAAGAACACAAAGTCCATTAAAGGGGAATGCGATGGCAGTCCACGGGTTCAAATGCAGACGTTCTGCCAGACAACAAATTAAGGTAGTCGCCCAAATGCCACTTGACCAATGTAGGTCCAGAGCTTCGTTGCCGGAGATGGCCTGTCGGCTTGATGTCACAGAGATCCCAGTGGCACCCTGGTGAAATGCAGATGCTGGCGGTGTTCAATGTGAAGCAAGGCAGCCAAAAATACCATGAATAGTAGTTTCCATTTCATTTTCCATTCTCCCAATATAAACCCAATACCCTATAATCCCTATATAATAAACCCAATATACCCTATAATCCCTATATAAGCCCCCTATAATCCCAAGGTGATAGTCACTTCAGAACTCCTGCCTTGGTCGAACTCGGGTGGCCTTGGCCGCATTGCCGCCTCACTGGCGAGGCCTGATCGATTTGAGGGCATCGCAGAGTGTTAGATAGAAAGGCTTGGGTGCCGGGGACCCAGAATGAAGCGAAACTACTACCATAGGAGCATCATGCATGGTTTGTTCCGTCTGAGTGTGGCACCGCTGTGAGCTCCAGGAAATCTTTAACCTGTGAAAGCCGTGAAAATGACATAACAAGTTTCGCAGGCAGCCATAAGATGGATACAGGCTGTCTTTCGTTTCGACTTTCAGGCAGTTTGCGCTGCGTGGCCACCGGACCTTGCAGCTCGGCTGCACCTGAAGTAGCTGGGACGCCACAAGGGACGGCAAGCTCCTGAGACTTCAGGGCCGTCTCCCCCATGTACACGAAGCCGCCACCAGAGGAGGGCTTCATCTACTTGGGATCGGCAACTCAGCTGACAGACTTACTTTCCAGAAGCCCGGTTGGCGGAAAATGTGAGCTGCCAGGCCTGGGTGAGGCTCGACCAGATGGATCAAGAAGTGCGCTGCATGCCTTTGAGCAGCAGAGACATGGACAACAGCAGTCCAAAGGCAGTGTCACAAGCTACGACTGTGATGCGACTGCCTGACTTCTTTCAAGGCACAAGTTTGTCAGCTTTGGCGAGGGGAAGGGATGCGAAGCTTGTCTAGATTTCAGATCCCAAGTAAGGATCCTCAAGTAGCACGAGATCATGAAAATACCTGCAGAAAAAAGTCAGGACTACGTCCTCCTGGACCACGGCTGCTACCAGCACAGGCCAAATGGGCTCTACTGCGACTCCAAGCACCTTTGATGCAATGAGGTGAGACGGACGAGAAGCCTGATGTAGTTGCTGTGGCTTCCCGCAGGACTGGCCAGGACTATGGTGACAACTTGTATCGATTCGCCATGCTGTCGCTGGCTGCTTTGGAGGTAGGATTGGGCATTGTTGAATTACCTCCGCATGGAAGCGGCGCGTGGAGTTTGTTGCCACCACTTAAGAATCTGGTTGTTCTTCGTAGGGAATGTGGGGCTCATTCTGTCGGTAGGCAGTGTGCAGGTTCCCCTCAGGCTGAAGTTCAATCGCGTGGCTTACGGGCAGAAAGTGCCTCTGCAGCAAGCTGGCAGTGCAGAGACGACATCAGACGTTCGGACTGTAAGATTTTCCTTCTTGATATGCTGGTTTCTTTCCAGACTTTGCACAGGAAAGGTGGACCGTAATGAGATCCCATCCCATGTCAGCACTGACGATGTTGAGTTTAAGCATTCAGCCTGAGGGTTTGGGATCGAAAGCCCAACATATAGTGCTGCGGTCCAGGTGGCTTTCATTTCCAACGACTGGCAGGCAGGACTTTGGGGTTGGCAAACGGGCGCAGCAGCACTGGACGATGAGTGGAGGGGCCGATTATCACACAGCAAAGCACGGCTCTTCAAAACGCAGCGTCTACTTGGGGATTTGCATCTCGTGATGCTTTTTTTCCCCAATGATGTATATTTTCCCTGACGCAGCGTCTACATGGGGAGATGCATATTCTCACCGGCTGATGTGTGATAACCCCGCCCCTTGTAATTCCAATAATTCCAATGGGAGGCTGCCCTCGTCTCAGTCTACTTGGCGCATCGCTATCGTCGGAATGGCCTCTACCAAGATGCCAGGCCTGACTCTCCTCCCCTGGGTATCTAGCATCTCTTCAGGAGTCTGACATTGTGATAAGGGAAATTGGCTTCTATGTCAGTGCTGTAGAATCAAGCAACTTTGATGATGGATGGATGCAGGTTCTTGGCCGGCCTTATGCAAGGGGAAGACTCTTAAAGGTGAGTCGGCCCTGTGAGCATGTCAGCCTCAGCACTAGAATATTCATCCTGATGACATAGATGGGTCAACATGTTGATGCGAAGTCGGCAAAACCATGTGAGCACGTGATTGCCGACAGGACGCAGATGGAACCCGTTTCTCCGTATCCCTAGCCTAAATGGCAGCGATGTTCTGCCTTTCTTGCCCGCAGCATAACTTCTGCAGCGTGCACGCTCACCGCAGTTCCGCAGCACCCACTCATTTGCCTTTGAAGAGCATATCTGCGGGCAAAAAAATTGTAAGGAAGCTGTGTGTCAAACCCTAGGGGGCAAATCGTTCCGGGCGTTCAGCACAGTAAGCTGCTATTGGGCCCCAGCCTGGCAAACCTTGAAACAGCTTGCTAGTGCATGATGCCAGCGCTGCCCTGAAGACCCCCGGTGACAATCCGTGACAGGAACATCCACATCGTTCACAACCTGGGTGTCTCGTCGGCACATGCACATGCAAACAGATGCTTTTGTTTCTTTCGGATGACCCTTGCAATCGCGCACTATCGCCCCCGCTGGGTCACACCACTTCCAAGGCTTCCAAGGCAGATTTCCGTGTCGGCGCTCCAGCGTGAGCACGCTGCTTGGGCTTGGCAAGGCAGCAGCGGTGGACCTGCCCAAGTCTCGGATTCTCTTTGCGCTTGATACCTGAAAATCTGGCATGCCTCACCGAGCAAGGGTGAAAGATGCGGAGCTCAATTTGTGCAAGGGCGCAATACTTTGCAGCGATCGCTTGGTTACTGCCGCCTGGTTGCAGCGTTGGGTTGTCCACTTTACCTAGCAGTTTGACATAGCGTTGATGTCCAGGTGTCGCGCAACTACGCCTATGAGATACAAACGCCTCAAGGCACCGGCCTGTGATCCCATCATATCCCATCTATCAGCTTCCTCACTTTTTCGTTGCCAGCGTATAAGTATAAGCCAACATGTAGTCTCAGTTTCTTTCCATTTCATTTTGCATTTTCCGTTTGATGATCCATCATCTGGGGTAAAGTCCCTCAAGCTTATATAACCTAAACCTGAATACAGGAGCTCCCTCTCTCCCTTCCAGTACTTGTATACAATCTTCATATTGCCCCTGTTTTTCCAGGCAATAGCCCTTGGTCGTTGGCACGACTAACCTTGCGGGGCAGCTTTTGCAGTGCCATGATCTTTTGCAGGTGGATTCGGGCTGGACAGTTTCCTCAGCCAGAAGGTTGGCGCAGAGACAAGAGCATTGCAGTTACTCTAGTGAAAACCAGAAATTGGGGGGTGTCTTGCAAAAGTCCAGGAGGGTTAGGCGCAATTAGAGCTCCGGTTCAGGAAAAGATTTGACTTGGCGTCCAGGCAAAGATGCTCCGTTTCATTGGGATCCAAAATGCACTGGATGAGGAATGGGATCCAAGCACCGTCCCTTGGCCGGTGAAGCATAGTTTGGGTTCCACAGGTGTTTCGCGTTCCACATGCCAAAGAAAGCTGGCCATGGTCCTTCGAGTGCGAGAGACTTCCTCATTCAACCAAGGACGTGCATATCGCACGTTGCTACCAGGCATGGTCAAACACAGAAAGATTAGAATCTACAGCTTTGCTGCCTTTGGGCTTCACACGTTCGGACCCTTGGCCAGGCCGACAGCATGGCTGCCGGGAGACGAGAATGCAAGGCGGGCTAACGAAGCTGGAAATTGGGATTCTTCTTGAAAATTACTTTAGTATATTGGGGTTATATTAATGGAAAAGAAAATGGAAATTACTATTAGGTTAGCTTCACGGTTACCTGCTACATAACCCGAAACATTCCAGCCAAGCTCACATTCCTGGATGCACTGGCATGAAGGGACCGTCTCAATCTTACTTCTCTAGCACTTCGGGCTGGGGTGTTTTGACGGAAGCCTACATTCTCCTCAGGACATTTGTCCAAATGGATATATACTTCTAGCTGGTCGCGCCAGCGAAGAACGCCTGGCCTGCTCGTCCTCTCCAGCACAAACCCTTTGGAGCTATCGAGCCCTGAACCTTCAGAACAACTTAACCCCTACCTAATATACCTTTTTCTCTTCCTTTTGAGTATCTAAGCACCTTAAGCCCTAACCCTGAACCCTATATATCCCCTATAATGCAAGCGGCAATATATCCCTCATAATACCTTTCAAAGGTACAAGATTACGGACATCCATTTAGGTCCCTACCCTATTATACTATAGTAGTTTCCATTTTCTTTTCCATTATCCCCATATAGCCCCAATATATACCCTA